AGCCAGTGCTTCTGGTCTGAGTCAGACTTTGAGGATGGAAATGCCCCACCCATTTCCCAATGCTGGCACCTTCCTTTCTCCCCAACAATACTCTGCCTTACTTGGACATGCCCATTGAGCTTCTTTCTTTGTTTTCACCCCTGCCACCCCTTCATACTTTTCTGGTAAGAGGAACTTATTTTTCTGGCCACTCTATTTCTACCTTAGACCCTAGAGAGAGAGAGATTTCCACACACAGGCTTACCAGGAGGGCCTGCAGCCTGAGGCTTAGCAATTTCTTTGAGTTATTTTTCTTCTTTGTTTTTGTTTTGTTTGTTTAAGGCATATGCTGGTGCGGTCTACTTTGGTCTCTAATTTTCTGGGTAGCTAAGGGTGACCTTCAAATTGACTTCTTGATCTTCCTGCCTCCATCTTCCTAGTGATGGAATTACAGGCACTCAATACTAACCACGGGTTACTTTTTATTGTATCTATGTTGGTTCCCTCTGAATACCATAACAAATTACACATATTTGATGGCTTAAAACCACACTGGTGTTTTATTTAGTGTTGGAAAAGTGTCTCCGCAGTTAACAGTTCCCGCTACTTTTGCAGAGGACCAGGGTTCAGTTCTCAGCATCCACATTGTGGGTCACAAACCCTGACACCAGGCATGCGCGTTATGCACATTGTGCACACATACGCATGCAGGCAAAACACACACACACACAAATAAAATAAATCTTTAAAAAATACCTTGTCTTCTGTGTACACATGCGTAACTGAGAATATACATGTGTACCACATGCATGTAGTACCAGCAGAGATGGGAAGAGGGCATCAGATCTCCATTCCCGGTCATGGCTTCTCAAGGTCCTGACATGACCTCCCAGAGGCAAGAGCTGAGTTGTCTCATCCCCATCGCTGCCCAGATTCTACAGGTGAAATGTGAAGAAGGCGGCAGTGGCGTTCCACAAAGACCACGACCTAAAACTGGGTGGAGATACAGAGTAGATCTTGGCTAAATGTCTTCCTGATGCTTAAAGTCAAGATCTGTGCCACTGAGCGTGGAGAAACTTGTCCCAGAGAAGAGAAGGTTCAGGTGCAGGGCCATGTGTACAAAGTTGTGTCCCCCAAATGTCACTGAACGTCTCTCAAATAGCCCCATCGGTGGCAGCCTTCTCAGCGTCCCACAGACATGGCAAAGTTGTCCACCTCTCAAGACTCTGATCTGCTTATTCTTGTGCATGAATATTTGACTATTTATGCGCCTGGTCTTCTTATAATTAGATATTTACGGTAAGATTTTCTCCTATGTCACAACTCTTAACTGAAGCAGCCACTCTTATCGGACTCAATTCCTTTCTCTTATTACTTTATTTCATTTTTATTTTTGGTGCTGGGTGTTGAACCTGGGGCCTCATGTATCCTAGGGAAGCACTCTACCACTAAGCTGCATGAGCACTTCATCCCTAGTACCGCTCTTTGTATAGGAATTCCCTCTTCTTACTTGTCTCATCACATGGGGGTTTGGATGAAAAACTGTCCCCCATTGGCATAGATATTTGAACCCTTGGTTCCCAGGTGGTGGCACTGTTTGGGGAAAGTATAGAGCCCCTAGGAGGTGCAGTTTAGATAGAAGAACCACTTCACGGGAGGGAGGGAGGCTCTGAGAAGGTAAAGCCTTGTCTCAATTCCACTTCTCTCCCACGCCACCCTGCTCTCCTCACTGCATGTAGATTAGGATGAGATTTCTCAGCTTCCTGCTGCCATGCCATTTCTACAATTAGGGACTCTATCCCTCGGGAAGTATAGGAAAAATAAATGTTCCTTTTTCCTTAGCATTGCTTTTGGTTGTGGTATTTTATCACAGCAACGAAAAGTACCCAATACACACTGAGTCATATCTCCTATCTACAAAGTCTCAATACTGAGAGCTAAACAACATGTATGCAGTGTTTCTGAGCTCAGGCCAGTGCAGAGAACGAGAAGGTCTGCAGCACCCTGCTTATCTTCAGCATCGAAGTCTTACAGAAAATAATCTTCATATTTCCCCCACATATTGGTCACTCTTGTAAAGGAAAAAATAACACTATTTTGTACGAATAGGCCACATGGCTAATTAAGTTCTGACCTCTAAAATCTCTAAAATGCCATTCTCTTTGTAATGCCAAGGAGTTTTGTTTATCTTTGTTGTTGCTATGAAAATGTTACACCTCTGCACAGGTTGATTTTTTTGTCATTTTTTTTTTTCATTTTGTTTTGTTTTTAAATTTGGAGTGGAAGAGTTAGTTTTGTTTTGAATTAACTGGCCTAAAGGAAGGCTCACACAACCAAGAACTTCTGTGCCTGTTGTACCATAGGAGTGCCAGGGCCTGAGGGGATGGTTTAGTCAGTGACGTGTTCCCTGTGCAAGCATGAAGACACATTCCCAGACCCATCCAGGTATGCATATATAACCCCAGTGCTGTGAGCTCAGGACAAGAGGATCTCTTGGGCTTGGCCATTTGCTGACCTCCAGCTCCAGTGAGAGACACTGTCACAGAACATAAGACAGGAAGTGACAGAGAAAGACATTGTAGGTTGAACTCTAGTCTCTACATGCACACAATATGATCATGCACATGAATGCACACTCTCACACACACACACAACACACACACACACACACAGTATGCCTCTGTTGAGGCAGTGGGCAGTTGAATCTCTTTCAGTTATGAAATTTCAAAGGAGTAAGTACTGGGAGAGTAAATTATGACTCTTACATACATAACTCGTATTAGAGTACTTTTGGATATTTTGGCAGATGAGTCTCTAATATTTATGGAGAAACATTTCCCCACGTTCCAGGAACTTTGCCTGGGAAGATGTGAACAAACGCTTACTCATCCCAGAGAGGACACTGATGACAGAGTAAAGCATAATTCCAACCAAGTCCAAAATAGTGAACCAACGAGGGTACTGGGCTTACCTACAAAACATGGTGAAGGGTATTTATAGGACCATGGGTGAACCCACAAAGCCACACCTCTGGAGGTCTTACCCGAGCATGGATGACTTTCCCATAGGTTGCATCCATGAAGTCCCACCTTCTACACACTATGTACTCCAACAATCAGAGTAGAATAACATATAACTAACTAGGAGGTGCAAGAGGGAATCTCTTGAATGTCAAAAGAGAATCCAGTGACCTCCATTCTATGAGGGAATGTCAAAGGTCAGTGGTAACAGGCCTAGTTTGGAGGTATTGTACATAGAGTCACATACACTTTTGATGATGATGCTAATAGCTGTTATGTTCAGATGAAAGGGCCTCACCACATCCCTAGATCAGCTTTTAGTCTAAAAGCTGCTCTTTTTTCATCTGGCATGGTGGCATGGGTGTGAAATCCCAATATTTGGAAGATGAAGACAGGAGACTCAGTCTGCACTCCCTGTCAACACACAAACAATAACAGCAAAAACAGTGTTGAGTTCACTGGTGCAGAATGGTATGACCAATTTATTTCTGATTGGATTTGATACCTGGTCAGAAGCCCAAGGCTGGGGAGGTCGTTAGGCCCTGGAGTAGCTGACCTTCCTGGAGAGGGATGAATCTACTCTACTGCTGCCATCTTTCACTGACGTCAGAGTCCAGCATCTCAGACATCCCAGCATGGATTGAAGATCAGCTGCTCACCAAGAATTCTCTACGCCTTCAGCATTAAATTGGGATGGATAAGCCATTTGTTCTGCTGGACTTAGCAGCTAACAGGTTCTCAGCCTCTTCAGCCTGTGCAATAGAACCCGGTCTAGCAAATCCCTGCTAGGGCGCACGTTCATCCTGGCTGTTACAGAAGGTTTCAGCAATTGTCTTTCTCCACAATGGTTTTTTTTCCCCCTCTTTCTCTGCATTTATTTTGAGGAAAGTCCATGACATGTACGAAAATTCTACTGCTTAAAAGTCAAAACATTGTCCCAGTTTCTGGCTCATTTTGCTTAGATACCGCCATGCCTCCCTTTCACTCTGAGCTTAGCTTCCAGAGCTCTTTGGTGGTTGTATATTTTTTGCTGGCATTGAGTGAAAGCCTTTAACATTAGCTCCTAGGACTCAAACATTTACAACAAAGGATTTTCCTGCTGAATAGCCTCTCTCCAAAAGAATCCACAGTCATATCCAAAACCCAGCAGGCAGAGCATTCATTTCTAAAACCTGCTGGTATTTTCTCTCTAAAAGCTCTACCCCCTAGGGGAGCACGGAGGTGGGTGCTCCACAGCCTGAGCACAGGGGCTGAGAGAGGACTGAGTCTGATGAAGAGCTGCCCTTAGAACAGAAAACCTGACCTGATGACGATATCAACAATGTGATGATTCTAAGTCCTCAAAACTAGGAGGAAAAGACTGAAGAGGGGCTTGATATTTTAAATAAGAAATGTTCCCCATAGGCTCAGGTGTTGAACACTTGGTCCCCAGTTGGTGGCACTGTTTTGGGAGGTTATGGAACCTTTAGGAGGTGGAGCCTTGCTGGAGGAAGAACATCACTGGGGTTGGGATTTGAGGGTTTATAGCCCATAGCCTGGCCCCTTTCCTGCTCATTAGCGAAGAGCATTCATAAAATATGTTGAAGTAAGAACTGAAATTGCTAGATAGGAGTGTTCTGGCATTTTTCTGGCCAGGCAACCTATTGAGAGAAGATCCTATCTCAAAAACCAGAAGTGATGGTGCCTAAAGAAAGATACCAGATGTTGACATCTGGGCTCTGCATACAAACATGCATGCACATACCAGCACATGCACACAGGAATATGAACACACACACAAAACAAAGTGTGGGCTTCTTAAGAGGGTTACATCTGTGGATATCTCATTTTGTGGAAAATATGAATGGTGGGAGGATTATTCTTGAGATAAGATTGAGAGATGGAAAATTCCAGGAATTGACAAAAAAAAAAAACAGAACAGAATTTGCTCTTTTCTGTCATTATATCAGCTTTGCGGTCTGGTATGACATCAGATGCATATGGGAGCACCTGTTTTGCAAGGCTAAACACATGACGATTCCATTATAATGAAGCAGAGAGCAGTGACATGCAGTCATCACGATAAATCAGTCACATCAGAGCTGCTGTTGGGTGGTCTTGTGTATTTCCTGTTCACAAGGTCCTGTGATGTTCTTGTTATGACTCAGCTCTATGATTATATCACCCTTAAGACCTCATTCTTCCAAAGCTAGGAAAGTTGATTCCTTTCATGTGAGAAAATGCTGGCCCCATGAGCAGTCTGTGGTATAATAGGTCTTTATGTCGGTAGCTCTCTATAATGACACAGAGACCCTTTATTAATTATAAAGGCTTGACCTTAGCTTAGGCTTGTTCCTAACTAGCTCTTAAAACTTAAATTAACCCATTTATATTAATCTACATTCTGCCACATGGCTTGTTACCTCTCCTCAGTACTGTATATCCGACTTCATCCATGTCTGGCTGGTGAATCTCCCATGCCTCAGATTCTTTCCCAGAGTTCCTATATCTCCCCAGAAGTTCCATCTGTTCTCTCCTAACTAGCTATTGGCCATTCAGCTCTTTATTAAACCAATCAAAAGGTGCCATAGGCAGATGAGGTAAAACAGAGACACACCTTCACACAGTGTACAAAAAGATTTTCCCAATATCTCCCCCTTTTAGTCCCATAAAAGGCTCTTACTCTAGCATCAATAAACTATATACAATAAGAACAATTATTGGGTAAGAATTACATTCATAATGTCCAGTCCACTTGTATTTGGCAAATTTGGAGAAAGTATTCTATTATCTATCCTATCTTGGTGAGTCCAAAATTTTGTACCTGAATCACTTTCTATCCTAACTTGTATTACCAAACTAAAAATATCTTTTTAGACTTTAAAACATTTTCTTAGATAAACAAATTAAGCTTTTATGCTTCTCAACCTTTATAAACTTTACACCTCTGTTGTGAGTTTCTTTTTTGAATTTTGTAACAAGAAAAACTATAAGACTATAAATATCTATTCCTTAACTCCATCAAAGACCTGAAAAAGATAAATATTGCCTGAGTAAACAGCAAGTACAGAGCAAGACATTTCTAAAACTATAGAAATGACAGAGATAGATGACTGCCTGGACAGTCATCCAAGGTTCCTCTGTAACATTGGAGCATCCATATTTGACAGACTTTCCTGTGAAGCAGGAATTTTGAAGGACTGGCCTACCTTGTCTTGGCAAATTTCAGCAGTCAACTTTCTTTGTATCCTGCTTGTCAAATTTGGACAGCATACTGTCAGCAATTCAGGCAAGGGCAGTTTCTTGCCCAAATGGCTAACTTTGTCACATTGAAAGCAAACTCCATATGGAGACTCTTCAATGACCATCATGTTCTTTGAAGTAGATTGGTGCTGCTAGGAGCAGATGTGTCTCACTGTCATGAAAAGCCTTATGTTGTTAAAACATCTTAAATGTCATATTCTGTAGATCTCTGAAGTGTTTGAAGACCACCTATCTATCTAAAATATATCCCTGTTTAACCTTAAAAACATACCTAACATGACTACAAGTTTGACTGTTACAGTTACTATTAATCTGCATTTCTTAATTACCCTAAACAGTTTGTAATAGCAGCTTTCAAGGACTGTTGTGGAATATTAGTTGAAGATGTGTTACATTTGTTTATGCTGTGGAACATTTGTTTAATGATACAAAGATGTCTTGCATTCTTTCACGTTGCATTCATTTGTTTCACTCTGTGAAGCTGAGTTACTTTGCCTGTCTAAAACACCTGATTGGTCAAATAAAGAACTGAACAGCCAATAGCAAAGCAGCAGAAAGGATAGGCAGGGCTGGCAGGCAAAGAAAATAAAGAGAAGGAGAAATCTGGGAGAAAAAGATCAAGAAGCAAGAGAAGGAGGAGGAGGACTCCAGGGGCCCACCACCCAACTACACAGCAAAACTATGGCATAGGAAGTAAAGAGAGGTATATAAAGTAGAGAAAGATAAAATTCCAGAGACAAAAGATAGATGGTATAATTTAAGTTAAGAAAAGCTGGCTAGAAATAGCCAAGCTAAGGCTTAGCATTCATAAATAAGACTAAGCCTCCATGTATATTTGTTTGAGAGCTGGGTGGTGGGCCCCCAAAAGAATAAAAAGCCAAAGAATAAAGAATAAAAAAAATAACAACAAAGGAATAGAACTTTACATTACATTTTTAAATAAGTTGTGTTATATGATATTTTGTTTGTGTTCTGACAAATAAAGCTTTCCTGGAGACCCGAGGGCAGAGCTAGCCACTAGTTAACCACAGAGGCCAGGCAGTGGTGGCTCATGCCTTTAATCCCAGCACTTGAAGGGAGGAAGCAGAAAGATCAGGACATACATGCCCCATGTTGGGCACCAAATATAACGGGTCTTTCTTTATATTGTCAGCTCTCTACTAATGACATGGAGACTTTTTACTGATTATGAAAGCTTGACCTTATCTTAGGCTTGTTCCCAACTAGTTCTTAAAACTTAAATTAACCCATTTATATTAATCTACATTCTGCCTCATGGCTCATTACCTCTCCTCAGTACTGTATGTCTGACTTCCTCTGTGTCTGTCTGACAAATCTCCCATGGCTCTGATTCTTTCCCAGAGTTTCTATATCTCTTTAGAAGTCCCGCCTATCTTTTCCAGCCTAGTTAATGGCCATTCAGCTCTATTAAACAGTGCCTTAGGCAGGTGAGGTTAAACAGAGACACAGTGTACAAAAAGATAATCCCGACACTATGGGACAGTGACTGCTGCTTTAACCCACCTGCCCTGATACTGTAAGCTAGTGCCAATCAAATGTTTTCCTTTATAAGTGTTGCCATGGTGGCTCTTCACAGCGATAGAAACCCTAAGACACCTACTAATTCCAGGTTCCACATGCTGGAAATAGGAGAGCAACATCTGCCTGGCCCATCGACTACTGTCAAGATGAAATAGTGACTGTGTGGAAATACTGCAGAAGCCCAGAGAGAAGGCGCTCTGACCTTCATCATCACACTAAAATCTAATTTAACAGTTTTCCTTCCATAGTTCTAGTTCAAATACATTGCAAGGGAGGCAGTTTGATGAGATGAAGACAAAGTACTAGTCTTTTTGAAAAAGAAAAAAGTTACCTGGGACTTTTAAGCAGAAATTAGAGCCCTGGAAGATAAAGAGAAGGATCAAGTCACATTTTAAATGCTCTGAACAAATTTGGCTAATTGCCATAAATGTTCACAAGTGTGTTTGTGCATTAATATGAAAGAGCTGTTCATGTTCTGGTTTTCTTCCCCACAGGAAACCGTGTTCTATATAGAGATGAGGCTGAAGCCACACCCCAGCTGTCAGCATACACCAGGTGTGATGGATAATCTGTTGTGTCTGGAGAACACTGTTTCCTCATAGCTATCCACCATCTCTGGCTCTTATCAT